CTGGCCCTGCTTCTGCTGGTGCACAGGTGAGCTGGATTTATTCCACTCAGATTGTATTTATTCTGCCTCAAATTGTAATTATTCCGCGTCAATTTGATTTATTCCACTTCATATTATATTTATTCTGCCTCAGATTATAATTATTCCACCTCAAATTGTATTTATTCCTCTCAGGTTGTGTTTATTCTGCCTCAATTTTATTTATTCCACTTCAGATTGTAATTTTTCCACCTCTGATTGTATTTATTCCACCTCAGATTATAATTATTCCACTTCAGATTGTAATTATCCACCTCAAATTGTAATTATCCCGCGTCAATTTGATTTATTCCACTTCAGATGCTATTTATTCCACTCAGATTGTATTTATTCTACCTCAGATTATATTTATTCCACCTCATATTGGTTTATTCCACTTAGATTGTATTTATTCCACTCAGATTATATTTATTCCACTTTATATTGTATTTATTCCACCTCATATTGGTTTATTCCACTTCAGATTGTATTTTTCCACCTCTGATTGTATTTATTCCACCTCAGATTATATTTATTCCACTTTATATTGTATTTATTACACCTCAATTTGATTTATTCCACCTCATATTGATTTATTACACCTCAGATTGTATTCATTCCACCTCATATTGATTTATTCCACTTCAGATTGTATTTATTCCACTCAGATTATATTTATTCCACTTTAGATCGTATTTATTGCTCCTCAGATTGTATTTATTCCACCTCAGATTGTAATTATTCCACTTCAGATCGTATTTATTCCACTTTAAATTGTATTTATTCCACTCAGATTGTTTTTATTCCCCCTCAGATTATATTCATTCTACTCAAATTGTATTTAGTCCGCCTCAATTTGAATTATTCCACCTCATATTGATTTGTTCCACTTCAGATTATATTTATTCCGCGTCATATTATATTTATTCCACTTTAGAATGTATTTATTCCACTTTAGATTGTATTTATTCCACTCAAATTGTATTTATTCCACTTCAGATTGTACTTATTCCACCTCAGATTATATCTATTCCACTTTAGATTGTATTTATTCCGCTCAAATTGTATTTATTCCACTCAAATTGTATTTATTCCACTTCAGATTGTATTTATTCCACCTCAAATTGTATATATTCCACTTCAGATTATATTTATTCCACCTCAGATTATATTTATTCCACTTCAGATTATATTTTTTCTTCCTCAGATTATAATTATTCCACTTCAGATTGTATTTATTCCACTTTAAATTGTATATATTCCACCTCATATTGGTTTATTCCACTTCAGATTGTATTTATTCCACTCAGATTATATTTATTCCACTTTAGATTGTATATATTCCACCTCATATTG